CGCCCAAATATATATAACATGTAGTTCTGTATTATTACTATATATATATATATATATATATATTATAAGAGAATGAGCTACATCATCACTCATATTTCAGATGAAACTCAACCATGAAAGGACACAATTTTTCTTTGTTTTCGACACTATGCTAGGCTCATTTAGAGATAACAACTAAGATTTTTGGGAAAACTATATATATATATATATATATATATATATATATATATATATATGTTTACTCCATCATTTTTGGCCCATTGGAAAGGCGACATATGGCGAGTTTCAATGGAACTTACCATGCTGGATCGCAACTCTAATAAGTTATTGTTGGAGTATTAAAGCTATTTTACGTAGCAGTCAAAGACAAGTGGGTTAGTATAATCCTACCATGTGGGGTTTTTCTAGTTTAAAAGGAAAGAGGTGAGTCCTATTAGGACTTACCATCTTTAAAGTAAGGGTCCACATATTCTTATTTGGAAAAAGGATTATTTCATAGAAAGACTACCATACATGCAACCTCATGCAATTATTTAAGACAGATTGAACCAATTGGTTCTCAACACATGGCGAGCCTCATTAAACTTGCCACGGTGGATTAATTTTGTTAAAGATGAATTTATTGGAAGTTCCTATTCTTATAGGATACCAATTAAATATGTATTTTCATTTAAATTAAAGTTGACCAAGTCACGTAAAGGGGACGTGGAGGCAATATTTTCTCCTTATTCAAGACAGATTCAACCAATTAGTTCTCAACACATGGCGAGCCTCATTAAACTTGCCACGGTGGATTAATTTTGTTAAAGATGAATTTATTAGAAGTTCCTATTCTTATAGGATACCAATTAAATGGATATTTTTCATTTAAATTAAAGTTGACCAAGTCACGTAAAGGGGACGTGGAGGCAATATTTTCTCCTTATTTTTAGGAGACATCAGCAATTGCCCAAACCAGGTCAACCTCTGTTGCTAAAATTCAGCATGCCGTGGGGATTCAATTTATATATATATATTTAACCCACGATGGAGTGATTATCATGAGTCCATGATGCCTTGAAGTCTAATGAGGCAAGGTTGAGGAGAGGTTGCTAGAATTAGGGAAGTGCACCACAAACCACGACGCCATGAAGTTTATATGGAGGGTTCAGCCTAAAATCCAGGAAATCGTGGTCTATGAAAGGAAAGGAAGTGGGTTGGATATAATCCCATGATGAAACAGTCCTAAAATCTAAGAGGTCATGGCCCATGAACTCTAAACCTAAAAGGATATTCTCAAGATGGAAGTTGCCAAAATCATGGGAACGTGGTTTACAAAAGAAAAGGGACGTGGGGAATAATCTGTATTTATGGATATATATCTATGTATATATATTTATATATATCAGATTTAACCCATGAAAGGAAAGAATCGCTGAAGTCGTGGGTGCTGAGGGAAGAAGGTGCTGAAATTCAGGAGTTTATGGCGCCATGAATTCTAAAGTTCAGAAGGAAAGTCTCACAATGGAAGTTATCATAGTTTAAGAGACGTGGGCAACTATATTTTTGATATATATATATATATTTGAAATATTATTCACGATGAGGAGGTTACTAAAAGTCAGAGACCACGACGCCATAAAAGGAAGGCTTTGTAGAAAAGGAAGACTACTTGAGATCGTGGGACACTTGGCCAAATAAGAAAGCGTTGGTTGAGAGTGGTGGAATTTCTTAAGGAAACTACTACAAACCGAAGCAGTTGTTGAAGAAAGTGGTCTAAATCGTGTCTCAAGAAGGAAGAGTCTACAATAGAGGAAGAAGGAGATGGGCAGAAGAAGTTATAATCGCTAAAAGAACGTGGGGTACTTGGCAGTCTAGAATTTGGCCAAGTGGAAGCTACCAAGGCTACCACACATCAGTTTACATGCACGAATGGGCTCTATAAATAGAACACTTAGAGCTAGTTTGCAAACCCTGTTCAACACACACAACCAACAGCACTTCAATTCCTTTACATTCATGTATCTTTACATTCATGTAATGCAATTTCAATATGTTTAATTCAAGTCTTACACTTATTATTCCTACTTTTCAGCACTTTACTTTGAAGTCCTGCACTTTCAATACAGCTTTCATTTCCACTAGCCATAGTTTAGTCCGAAAGTCCTTTCTCAAGGCAAAAAGAACCTTTGAAGGTGGCAATTCTAGTCTTTCATTCAATCACCTGATCCTTGTAATTTCCTACTGGATAGTTGTTCGGATATCCACTTTGGAACAACAGCAGTTCCTGGCACGCCCGACATTTACCCTCCTTTCCGCACTTGGAAAGGAATCCGGTTTTTAGAAGCCGAACATATTGGCACGCCCGGTGGGACATCTAGACAGATTGTTCAATGGCCGGTGGAAGAAGGCAAAACAAATTTGTCCAAGACCCTGCTGAACTAAAAGAGATGCAAACCAGTGAACTTCCAGTGGAAAGTTCACGATTTGCACCTAATGAAAATGATATAGTGGAAAATTTTGCTCAAACAATGGCAAATGGACCCATCATGGACAACATCCGCATGATGGCAATACAACAAGGTAGGTTTGCTCAAGACCAAGCTAGAGTCGCCCAAGACTTAGCCAGAGTTGTGCAAGATCAATCTAAGGCTAGTCAAGACCATGCAAAAGTCGCTCTTGCTAACGAGCGGAAGTTAAAAGAAATGGTAAACCGAATCTCTCAAAGGTTCGAGTCTATGTTGGAAAGGTCCTTTGGAGGTTTGTCTCAAATTTTGGCCCCTCGGCCAAGTAACCCTAAAGGGTCTTAACAGTCGGCCTTTCAAGCTAGTAGGGCGGCCACGTTTGTTAAAGGAAGTTCTTCTCAGCAACATGCAGGGCCGTTCCCTCCAACTCAGCAGCAGGTGTAGTCCCTTCTAATGGCATAGACTTATATTCCAATTGCACTTGTGACTGCTCCAGTGGCACAAATGACTATTCCACAAGCTGCGCCCATGCCAACCATCTAGCAAGTTCAGAATCCTCCACCTGTGGCATTTCCACAGCAGACTTGGCATGATCAGCCTGGCCAACCATGGCCATACCACATTCCTCAAGCACAACAGAATGTTCCACCTGTGAACATTCAGCCAGCCACACCTATTCCAGCAAGGCCACCCATGTCATTCCTCAAGCACAACAGAATGTTCCACCTGTGAACATTCAGCCAGCCACACCTATTCCAGCAAGGCCACCCATGTCATTCCTATGGCGGTTGGGGGGCAACCTTTTCCAAATGAGCCACTTCTTGACCAAAGAGGAAGGAACCGTGGCAGAAACAACTATACAGATGCCAACCCCTTGCTTATGACAAGTGGGGGGCATCAGGAGGCCAATTAACCTCAAGGTTGGCTAGACAATAACCCTCCACAACCTGTGGCGCTTGATAGAGGCCAATTTACAGAATTCCTTCAACAGGAATTTGGCCTAACTCGAAGGGGTGAAAGGCTAACTTACAGAAAACCCTATCCAGAGTTCATTGATGAAATTGAATTCCCAAGGAATTTCAGAATTCCAGAGTTTGCAACGTTCATGGAGAGGGCGAACAGTCTACATTGGAACATATTAGTCGGTTCACTGTCTAATGTAGAGAAGTAACAGCCAATCCATGGCTGAAAGTACGCTTGTTTCCAAATACACTGACTGGATATGCTTTCAGGTGGTATTCCAACTTGCCAGCCAACTCCATTCAAAGTTGGCAGCAATTTGAGGATTTATTCCATACTCAGTTCTATAAAGCTGAGCTTAAAGTGTCCATGGTAGACATTTCCAGACTTCACCAACTACCTGGAGAATCTGTGATGAGCTACCTTTCCAAATTCAGGCGGGCCAAGTTTAAATGTAATTTGTCTTTGCCACCAGAAGAATATGTGAAGATGGCTGTGAACGGCCTAGAATTTAAACTTTGCAAGAAGTTTGTAGGTGTACAATTTCATGATTTATTTGACTTGGCCGGCAGAGTGGCTAAATATGAAGAGCTCCTTCGTGAGGAGCAAGACTGGAAGAGCTCTTCCAAGGGCACTTACTATCGTGATCCAAATTATGAGGTGTATACCACTGAAACTGAAGGGGAGTTTGAAGTAAATGTAACCGAGCTCAACATAAAGAAGGCCTATACTTGTGAGGCCTTGACAAAACCAAAGTCAGCCAAGGCCAACTTGCAGGCCGCTTTTGGTTCCAAGTGGAAAGGAGCAGACCCTTCCAAGAGTTATTCTTTTGACATCTCTAAAGCCAAGCAAATTTTTTATTTGTTCATGGCTGACAAGCAACTGATTTTCACAACAGGCCATAAGATGCCATCGGCCTCAGAAATGGCCGAGAAAGAATATTACAAATTTCACAACTCATGGAGGCATTCCACTAATAATTGTGTGATTTTCCGTAACATAATGCAAAAAGCAATTGAAGATGGTAGGTTGAAGTTTCCAGAAAAAATAGAAGTCATGGGTGTTGATGAAAATCCTTTCCCCAAGGTTGTTTCCATGACCGTTACTTCCCTTGCTGCGGAACATCCTAAAAAGAAGGTGGACTTGGCAGATTTAAGAGCTAGTGGAACACTTAAAAGTCCTAAAGCTGCAGTATCCTTGAAGAAAACGGTGGCCGAGTTAGAAAAGTAACTCCGTGAGGCTCAGTTAGCCTTAATCCAGCAAGGTTGTTGCCCCAAGTGTAAAATTCAGAATGAAGGCTGTCACAGAGATGTTCTAAAAGAGAAGTTGTCCAATGATGACCGAGGCCAAAAAAGGAAGGTCCATGATCGGCTGACTTTCCAAAAGGTGGAAAACACAGTTACTGTAACCATTCCAGAGAAGGAAAGCCAGGTCCATACAGAAAGAAGGGCAGCAACAAGGAAACCAGAATTCCTTCCAAGGAGTATGGAAATGAATAAAATTTCCTATCAGGTAGGGCCTCGTCCTAGCAGAAAGTTTGAAAGTAGTAGATGACAAAACAGAGGTTCTGAAGGTGACAAGCATTCTAGGCCAAAAATGGCCTCGGAGGTATGGGTTAGAAGGGGGAGTGAGCATTTCCGACCAAGAATGGTTAGACCTCCTACCTCGCAAGATGAGGGGTGGAGAAGGCTTGATCATCCCAAGTTTTCCATTCATGATGACTCTTATATGACTCGCACACAAAAGCGAAGGCAGCAAAGGAAGTGGGCTGATAGAAGGAAATTATGGGAGAAAGACCATGGTTGGACTAATTCTCCAAAGAAGATGGCTAAACCATCAAACTTGTCTGAACTTCCAGCTAAAGGAGGGGTTAGAGATCCTGATGATTTATTGGATCTTGTTTCAGAAGTTGGAATTCCTTGACTACAGACAATCCTCCTACAAAAGATAAAATAGATTTGGAAATTCTCAACAGTTCTAGCAGCAGCAAGAAAATCTATTTTGGGAGCGTTCCAGGTGAATTTACTTGCAATATGGTAGTGGTTTTTCCCTTGTTTTTTGAACCACAGCCAAATCAGCCCAATTCAATGGAAGGAGATATGGTAGATACAAGTCCTCCCATGGAAAGCCTAGGACAGCCTAGTTCTGGGCCAACTATTATAGAACCAAATAATGGTATTTATATAGAAGAGGTCTTTGAAGATGAAGCTGAACATCTCCAGAAATTAAAGGGGGTTATGATTGAAGAGAATAGCCCCACGAGGCCAAAGAAAATTGTGTTGGAAAAGCCACCGTATGGTATGACTCAGCAGCTCAAACCTTTGTATATCAAGGTGCTAATCGAAGGAAGGCCCTTGGCAAGAGTTTTGGTGGACAATGGTTCGGTATTGAATGTTGTTCCAGTAAATGTTATGCGCATGCTTGGAAAATCACCTGAAGATATCATTCCAACTGATGTATCCATTAGTGGATTCACTGGAGGAATAGTGAAGACGCAAGGAATCCTACTGTTGGAACTAATGGTAGGAGATAGAACTTCCATCACAGCCTTCTTTATTATTGAGTCTACAGCGGCATATAATTTGCTCTTAGGCCGCGAATAGATTCACCTAAATTTTTGCATTCCATCTTCACTCCATCAAATGCTAATATTTTGGGATGAAGATGAGGTAAAAGTGGTGGAAGCTGATAGCCGGCCATTTGTGGCAAGGGTTTACCATGCAGATGCTAAGTTGTATAGTGAAGAATTCGTTCCAATCAGATTTATTGGAAAGGATAGTAAGGGCCGTCCAAACAAGGCCACCATGAGAAGAACTCTTACGGAAGAAGATGTAAGAGAGTTTTTCCAAGAAACACCAAGGCCAACAATTCTACCCAAGGCCGGTGTTCAACACTACATTTCAAACAAAAGTTTTTATGGAAGAGAAACCTAAAGAAAATAGAATACTTGGCCAGGCGGTTAACTGCTGCCTTGCCAGGTTGAAAGCATATCTAGCTGAACTACGGCTGGAAAGGGCTGCTGTTGCTAGTATTTCATTTTCAACCAATGTTTTGGAGATTATGGAAGATACTGAAGATAAGTTGGATGTTATCCAGCTAACAGACTTGAAGGCGGCGCCAACGAAGTTAGACGATCTCAAGGCCGAAGTACAAGATCCACTTTTAGAAGTTAATCTTGAAACAGAATAGGACCCTCGGCTTACCTACATCAGTAAGCTTTTGGAACCAATCTTTAGAGAATAATTGATTTCCTTACTTGAAGAATACAAAAGATTGCTTAGCATAGACATATGAGGAAATGCCAGGTCTTTCCAGAGAGCTGGTAGAGCAAAAGTTGCCAATCAAGGAAGGTTTCAAGCCTTTCAAGCAGCCTCTAAGAAGGATGTCCCAAGAAGTGGTTCTAAAGGTCAAAGAAGAGTAGAAAGGTTACACAAGGCTGGTTTTATAAGAACCGCTAAGTATGTAGACTGGATTTCTAACATAGTTCCAGTTGTTAAGAAAAATGGCAAGCTAAGGGTATGTGTGGATTTCCGGAATATTAATCTTGCAACTCCAAAAGATGAATACCCCATGCCTATTGCTGGCCAATTAGTAGATTCAGCTGCTAAGAATGAAATTCTTTCTTTCACGGATGGGCATTCCGGGTACAACCAGATTTATATTGCGGAAGAAGACATTGCCAAGACGGCTTTCAAATGTCCAGGATCCATTGGAACCTTTGAATGGGTTGTCATGCCATTTGGATTGAAGAATGCTGGAGCAACATATCAAAGGGCCATGAATGCCATTTTCCATGACATGATTGGCCATTTCTTAGAAGTATAAATTGATGACGTAGTCATCAAATCCTCGGCTAAAGCTCAACATCTCCATAATTTAAAGATGGCTTTTGAAAGAATGAAGCAGCACAAGTTGAAGATGAATCCTTTGAAGTGTGCCTTTGGGGTTCCTGGGTTTTCTAGTCCACCAACGAGGTATTGAAGTAGACCAAAATAAAGCAAAGGCAATTATTGAAGCAAAGCCACCGGCCACTAAGAAAGAACTACAAAGGTTTCTTGGCCAGGTTGGATATTTGAGGAGATTCATTGCCAACCATGCTGGAAAGACTCATGCTTTCTCCCCATTGTTGAAATTGAAAGGTGCTGAGGAGTTAAAGTGTACGGAATAGCACCAGCAAGCCTTTGAAGGTCTAAAAAGCTACCTGGCCAGCCCTCTAGTGATGATGTCTCCAATTAAGAAGCGGCCTTTAAGATTATACTTATCGGCCGCTGACGAATCCATTGGAACTCTTATAGCCCAAAACAATGAGTTGGGAAAGGAGCAAGCCATCTATTATCTAAGTAGGGTGCTCACTCCAGTGGAATGTAGGTACACTTCCATTGAAAAGTTGTGCCTTTCCTTATACTATGCAGCTATGAAGTTAAGAACCTATATGTTGCCAGTGGCCGTATATATCATTTCTCAAACAGATTTGATTAAGTATATGCTTTTAAGGCCTTTGATCACGGGACATATTGGAAAGTGGTTATTGGCCTTAATGGAGTTTTCCTTCAAGTATATTCCACAAAAGGCAGTCAAAGGAAGGGCGGTGGCAGAATTTCTAGCGGACCATATCCTTCCACCAAGATTGATTCAGAAATATGTGACGAGGTGGATAATCTCTACCTTGATTATACACCTTGGACTCTCATATTTGATGGATCAAGCACTCATGAGGGAGAAGGAGGCTAAAATACTGTCACAAACGGCCTTATGATTTTTTGTCCGAGTGGAAGAAATGTAGGCCGTCCACCATATGGTAAATTCATTAGAAGATTAAGGCTTGCTAATATGGCCTTGAAAGTTAAAAGCTGACCTTTCCACTTCATAAGCTTTATCAATTGCAGCAAATTTGGCAACATCTGTAATTCTCACTCTTTGGTCTAAGTATCTAATCTGAGATTTGTATGGCGGTAAGGGAATGAGTTGGGTGAATCCCATTTGCCTAGCTAGTTGAGCTAGATTGTAAAATTCCACGCCATAAAAGTTATTCCTGAGAGTAGGGTTGGCAGTACTATAATGAAGATCTCGAGCAAGTAGAAAGCTCGCCCAAATATTTTTCCATTCTCCAGAATGCTTTTTGGTTGAAACCCCTGGAGAAGGGACTAGCCATGATGGCATGTGACCAAGGAAAGTAAAAGGGTCAAAGAATTTGTCATCTCCCATTTCACATTGGTTGTAAAAATACTCAAAGTTTTTAGCAAAGCTGAAAGGAGAAGGGGCCACTGTAGCTAAGGGATAACATAAAAGGGTTTTTCCAGTTTGCATGGCCAGAGGAAAAGTTCTGTCTTGGAAATACACCTTAAGCCACATTTGGAACAACCAGAAAGGGCCTTGAAACCTTGAAAATTTGGAGGTAAGGAGGTCATTCAGACCTCTGTATAGATAAGAGAGTACAAGGGGAGTCAATACTAAATCTCCATTCCTGGCCAAAGATATGGCAACTTGAACAAAATCCTTGGTAACTTGCCCGGATGGAACACATAACAAGTAGCCAGAAAGCCAACAGATTAGGAAAGCTATGTGCTTGTCCTCTTCGACTGGCCCTCTTCCTTTATAGTGTTTGATGAAAGGAATGTGGGATGAAACAAATTTCTTGCTACCAGTGCTTTTGGTGGGAAAAGAGAATTGGTCGACATAGAGAGTGGCACTAACATCATCTCCATGAGGTTTGAGGCCATTAATGCAACAAATATCCCTTAAGGTTGGGGATATCATTCCACATCTCAAATGAAGGGCATTTGTGGTTAAAGACTAGAAAAAAAAGGGCTAGAAAGAGAAGGTTTGGGTCAAGTGTAATGGAGGCCTTGCTGATCTGGATAATATCAAAGATTCCTTATTTTTTCCATTGTGATGAAATCTTTTCATCTTTAGAAAGACGATTCGCCCAGGACGACCAAGAGGAACGATATGGTGGCCAATTCTTTACACTGAAGGAAGGCTTTACTTTTTTCCCTTTCTTTAAAATAAGAGGGAACTCCCAATCAAATGGGAGAGGAGACGTACCGGAAGGGTAGAGCTCTGCCAACTCGGAGGAAGCCACACCTGGAAAAGCCGGTTGAAGCCCGATTGAGGAATCTTCAAGGGGAATCAGAGGGTTAAGATGTAGCCTAGCAGGATTCAGGGACTGCAGAAGTAATTGGACTTGGTGACTATGGCTTCGAGTTTTGATTTTAGGTCGAATTGAAGGAGCTGGAAGAGAGGAGCTAGTGGTTTGTTTGGGCGGTTTTTTAGCTTTCACAGGAGCCATGATTCGTTACTGCTACAAAGTTAGAGTCTTGCTACTTCTTAAGGTTTGGTTGAAGGAGAAGAAAGACGAAAAAACAAAAGGTTTTCTGATAAGGATAAATGATATACATGCATATATATATATATAGAAGTAATGAGAGTTACGTTTTCTGAAGGTTGGTAGTTAGGATTTTTCAAAATTCAAAAAAAGGTAATAAAGATTAGGAAACTGGATGGTTTTTAGCCATAAATGGGTAGGACTTATATTGGGACACGGAATGTCTTTTAAAAGTTGGCGGCGGATAATGATTGATATGAAGGAAACCGGGGAACTAGCAGCGTATTGCATTGAAATTCTTCAACTAATGATTACTTGAGTTGTCTTAATCCAAGGGCGATTTTTAAGGGGATTTGTTTAGCGATTTCAAAATTTAAAAGGAATGAAGTTTTTGCCATAAAGGGATATGAGCTTTTCGGAATGTGTGGTACTTGTCAACCAAGTGGCAGTATAAATATACTTTGAAGGAAGCAAGAAAGTCAACTGCATGGAAAGAGGAAATTGGAATTTTAAGAGGGTCATGATGGCAGAATTCAAATCCTATGCCTTATCATCAAGTTGTTCCACATGGTATGGAATTTGGGGGGCATATGTTTACTCTATTATTTTTGGCCCATTGGAAAGGCAGCATGTGGCGAGTTTCAATGGAACTTACCACGTTGGATCGCAACTCTAATAAGTTATTGTTGGAGTATTAAAGCTATTTTACTTAGCAGTCAAAGACAAGTGGGTTAGTATAATCCTACCATGTGGGGTTTTTCTATTTTAAGAGGAAATAGGTGAGTCCTATTAGGACTTACCATCTTTAAAGTAAGAGTCCACGTATTCTTATTTGGAAAATGGATTATTTCATGGAAAGACTACCATACATGCAACCTCATGCAAGTATTCGAGACAGATTCAACCAATTGGTTCTCAACACATGGCGAGCTTTATTAAACTTGCCACGGTGGATTAATTTTGTTAAAAATGAATTTATTGGAAGTTCCTATTCTTATAGGATACCAATTAAATGGGTATTTTCTATTTAAATTAAAGTTGACCAAGTCACGTAAAGGGGACGTGGAGGCAATATTTTCTCCTTATTTTTAGGAGACATCAGCAACTGCCCAAGCCAGGTCAACCTCGTGACCTAGCTTGAAGTCTAATGAGGCAAGGTTGAGGAGAGGTTGCTAGAATTAGGGAAGTGCACCACAAACCACGACGCCATGAAGTTTATATGGAGGGTTCAGCCTAAAATCTAGGAAATCGTGGTCTATGAAAGGAAAGGAAGTGGGT